TAGCAAGCAAGCTGGATATCGTTTTTGGGGAAAAAGCATAGGGGATATCGTTTTTGCGGAAGAGAATAACGTTGTCTTTCGATCTGCGGCCGGCACGCTGCCGGCATGCCGCCAGCAAATAAACAAAAGGTTTGTTTACAGCGAATTGATGATGAAATGACACCAAAATAGGTGTGTAGATGGGCAATGGGGAGTCAGAACTAAGTATGAAAAATTATGAAAAAATTATGTGAACTAAAGGCGTGCTCAACTTTTTTCGGAGTTAGGTGGCTTTCAAGCCACCTGGACAGCCACCTGAGGTGGCTTAGGAAAGAAAAAGTCATAAATTTTTCCTCCCTCACATAATTTTTCCACTTTCTTTACATACTTTTCATCTACATCCCAAACCCTACAAAATAGTTCCTAAATCGCCTCAAACCCCCTTCTCCCCGCTTAGTTATAGCCCCTTGAAAATTTTGAATGGCCGCGGAAAAGCTGCTCTAGGCGCGTATTGCTGCACGATGGATACATCATGTCGCTATTCCGGAGAATATAAATATAATTGCGTGTGTTCGATGATTCTTTTTCGTTTTTTCTGCTGTTGCTTTGTTTCGTTCCTTTTCATGTATTCTTCTTCGAATATCTCGTGGCGGATGTCGTAATTTCATTGAAGTCAAAAGGGACTTCATTTTTTGCAATATCGGGACGCCACCTCATGCCGAGCCCTGGTCTAGGGTCAAAGGGGACTTCGTGAAAATTCGCAAAAGTCAAGGCGGACTTCGTTTTTTGCATTTTCAGCTAGCCACCTCGTGCCGAGCCCTGATTAGGAGACCCTTGCTTTGCGGTCATAAATGACACATGATTGAAGCCAAGATTTTGCACTGTTTTTATATTTGAAGAATGTGTTTAATTGTGTCGTGTTATGCTCATAAGAGCTCGACTTCGCAAAAACTTCACTTATTATGGTTCAATATCCCCACAATCAAAAGAAAATGAGACTATCGGACGTTCAAAGATGACAATTTTGGTAATGTGGAAAGGATTCTGAATAAACAGGTTGTGCTATAAATTTTGAAGTCTCTCTCATTTGCCTTATAAGAGTGCACTCAAAAAAGGTGCTAGAAAGAAGAGTGAATTGCTTCGGATGAAGCTTGTATTTATCAATCTTCGCTATGACAGAACGATATTATGAGGTGAAAACACTTTCAAACACTTTGATCTGGTTTTTTTCTAATTTCCATAGAAGCTCACTACGATTTGCATATATAATTACTATAAAAGTAATAGGAACTCCTTTCTTGTTCATGGTGCTTAGGAAAGATAGTGCGGTGAACCGTCAATAATAGCAATAGGATTTTGTTGAAAATACTGTGAGAGACAAGAGGAAGAAAAATGAGAGAGGTGTGATGGTGTTTGTGCTTCACTAAAGTTTTCTGGATGTATGGCTGTATTGTAGAGGGCTGATTACTGCGTTGAGCAGATCTATTACGAGTGCCAACGCTTTTGATTTCAAGAGATCTGGACCTTTTTCCTGTTTTCAAATATTGTAAAAAACATTCTGGTCGACCTGCGATTCAAAAACCTGAGGGTACAGAGGTGTAGTGGCAAATTATTCTATTAGGCCTTTTATTATACTTGAATGAAAAAATCTATATATTCTTAAAGAGTTGTTACAAAATAACGTTTAAAAATTTGTATTCTCAAGAACTCTTTGTTACAAATTACGTGGAGGAAACTCTTCCATGGATACATGTTACATGCAAAGAAAGTGGATTTTTAAACCGTTTAAAATTTTCTCGATGTTTTCCTGGCAATTTCTATTATGCATTATTGATGAGCTTAAGCTTCCGAACTGCCTCAATATCATCACTGATGTTCTCGGAAATCCACAGAAAATCTAAAAAGATAAACAGGAAGAATGAGGGAAATTTCAAGAAAAAAAGGAAGAAAGAAAGTTGAAGTGCTATCATAAAGTTGCTTTTATATGTACCGCGACCTATATTCGTAAAACTGGAAAATATGCAAGTGGATAGGCTTTTGCTTTTTGATGCATGCTAAATATAAGACTCTGCCGAAGTTTCTAGAAATTTTCGGAAGAGACGAAGGAGTGTTACAAAACTCATGTCACGAGCCAATAGTAATTGCAGTAGCTGCTTTTTTAAGGAATTTTACGCTTGGTGAATCAAGCTGTTTATGCTTTTTTTTCTTTAAAATCTTTGCACGATTTTTGCACGCCCACCTTTCCGCTCTGATTAGATTGCGACAAAAACAATGACTATGCTGAATGGATAAGAACAGCGTTGAGCGAACGTTGAAGCATGGCACAAAGCACGAACACAATCAATATCTTCGTTAGTTTTTCATTAAAGCAAAGTCGACTCTTAAGAAGTGCAAACACTGAAAGGTCAATAAGGGGAGAAGAGAAACGCGAAGCCACTGGGTACTCAATTGTGCCATTCTGGAGACAATGCGCGACCTTCTGCTTTATGTGATCATCTTTATTTCGCGTCTGAGATCAAGCTGATCGTCTTGAACAAAGAATCTTTGTATTTCCCTTATTCTCACTAACTTTTCCTCTAATTACTCCTACAAATCTGTCGCAGTCAATCCTTGTTGTTCTAAGTGCCTGAATATTCGATTTTATGGCCAAGAAAAACCGAACATCTCTTCAACTTTATAGTCTCTTTACGACATTTTTGCCTGGGACAACCCCTTCCTGAATCTCTTTGCTCCTTTTCGTCGAAAGTGTTCGTGTTTATTCGCTTTTGTGTTGCCGTCTCATTCCTTCTTTGACTATTTCCCCTGGTTATGAATCATCACTGAACATTTTTTGTGCTCTGAATGAATAGCACTTCCATGATGCGTTTTCCCTCTTAGTGGTTTTCTTTAAAATAAACCGCTTTGTATGAGCTCAAGTATCGAACTTTGTGCATAGGGTTGAAATTAGTTATGAAAATGGTAGAATAATTTTTTTTTGATGTCCTGAATTCACAACAAACTCTCAAGAATAATCACTTTACCATTATTGGAACAAATGTAGATAAAGTTTCCATGGTGCTTTTGAGTGAAGAATACAAAATAAAATTTACTGTACCTGAAGTTAATTCAGATACTCACTTCGCCCTGATAAAGTTACTGTGTGTCTAGCATAATCGCTGTATCTGAGTTTTTTACATTGTGATGAGCCAAAAAATAGTATTTAGGCGAAAAAAACGTTGATTGGAAATCCATGTATTTGCAAGTGATGAGTACTTTTATCATTAGATTGGAAAGAATATTTTGCACTTCTCATGGCAGAATTGATGTTTTCGGGAAAAATGTTTTTCACTGGGTTAAACATGTAGGTAGCACTCATATCAAATTGTCGGCGAGGTCTAACGCAATAGGGGCAAAGTTTTCCAATTCTTAACCTCTTCTTTATTCTGAGTTTTTGGCGCGAACACCATAAAATGCTCTGTATATGCCAAAAGTATGTGTATCTAGTAATATTAGATTGATCCATAATTAATGCACGTTTTCCATACCTCTTTTCTCACGCACTGGTTTCCACAGTAGAACCAGTTTTCTCACAAACTTTTTAGCTCTTCAGAAGGGATTTTCTTCTAATTTCTTAAGTATGCCTTCGTTTTCGTAGATTTCTATTCTTTCCGATTTTATGCTTATGAACATAAGAGACTAAATCTCAAAAATTCTTTCCTTTCGCTCAGTTCGTTTTAAATTTATGAAGAATAGCCAAATCAACTTTAGAAAAGATGCATGAAGTTTATGTAATTTTGTGCTAAATGTTTATTTTGAAGGAATTTTCAAAAAATGAGCTGAGAAATTATACCACCGACCTGGTGTGGGTGTTAGTTGGTACCCTTTTGTGCCCTAAAAAAACCTAAGCAAAAGGTAATTGCTGAACTTTTACAGTATACTGCAAGGGCAGACCTAGTTTATGTAGTGGTAGGATAACGGGAGCTTTTTCTATTTTTTAGTGTAAAAAAATGATTGATTTCAAAAAACGCAGTATTTCAAGCCCACCGAAAAGCTAGAAAAAAGTGATTACTTTCATCTTTTCCGCAATATTCTCTCTCGAAAAATTCCGCAAAATCCAAGCTTGGCACTACTGCTCAACTGGCCATTCTCTATACGTACAGCAAAATGTGCGCCGTCCTACTACATTCCATGGTAAGTTATGCTCTCTTTAAGTAGAGAGTATTATAAAAAAATTTTTGTCAATTTTTAGGCTGGTAAATATTACTTGTGACGGCTACAGTAATACAAAAGTATGTGTTGTGTAGTTAAAGATTTGATGTTCACAACAGTTTTTATTGCTCTCAAAAAGCTTTGGTTTGAACAGATTTATCAAAGCTCAAAATTCAATTATAAAAGACATTAATCAATTAATGATTAACGTAATATATAGTATAAACATTATAAGGAAATTATCTTTACAGGGTGAAATTCCAAGTTCTCAAAACTCTCAGCTTTGGATTTTGGCTTGAATACAAGAAAACAGTAATTTGGCATGCAGACACCATACGCCCATATATGTGATTTCTTTGCTACAAAGTCGTCAAAACGCGATGTCCAAGGATTCTTTCAAATAATGCTTATTCGAAGGAAATTTGAGCGGATTGTCTATGTTCGAATGCAGTAGTTAATCGAGATTTTCGTGTTTCTTCTTTAATTTGCTCGGTTCCAGCGATGTTAAATTGCAGCAATTCATTTTCGTGCATTTTGCTTTCTTCGTGAAAGAATTGCTGTTTGCAACGCCACGCATTTTCTCAATCACAAAAACCCTATATGTACTGGTCCAACTCATCTTCTGCCCAATTTCCTCAAGTTTCTATTTGTAATGTGACCAATAGTTATTCTCTTCTTTCTGTCCATTATTGTGGTGAATTCTCGCACTTGCTGTTATTCTTATTTGGAATAAGTATGTGCCAGTCGTAAGACTCTGATAACTTGTGCAAATAATAAACGAACGTTTTGGCTTTGTAAGGAGTATAAATTGAGTTTTTTTCATATGTTCATTTAGAGGGGAATGAGCGCCGAAAATGCTACAACTGAAACAGAAGCACCTCCATCCCGTATCGGCTTCTGCTATGAATGGTACCCAAAGGTGCGTTTTGTGTTATCAAGGCTTAATCGCAGACTATCGGTAATGAATGTCTTATCAAAATCTTTCAAAATGGTTTTTTTATTCCCCTGACTATGCAAAAAATGATTTGTAAGGCACCAGCTTGCTTGCAGGTCAAGTGCAATACTTATCTTCTGGAAATGATCAAACTTCACCTTACTACTTGTCGAAAAAAACTGGATATTAGCTGCCCTTATCTACTTTCTCATCTAGCCTCGAAAAAAAAAAGCAAATGCTTTAATGTAATTTACTATATGTATGTATACTAATGATGATCGAGTGGGAAAGATGCAAAATTTTTTCGCCAGAGATTGGAATTTTGGGGTGATAGAATACTTTTGGTTTCCAACAATCTAGAGTCTTCTTGAGGCTTGCTTTGCTCTGTTGAACGATATATCCCTTGCATTTTCAGCTCATTACTTTTGCACCAGCCTAGTACACTATAGCCAGGATATAAAAAAATTGAGTATAGTCGATTCTAATAAAACTTCATTTCTCTTTTGTAATAAAAATTCATCTTTCTTTTCCGATTTTCCCTTCAAATATAAAGTAATGTGGATGTTGAATAGCGTTTTTCTCGTAACATTCCGTGGCGCTTATAATCTCATAGAATTGATGCTTGGTTTTCGCATCCAGGATTACACTTACCTGGATCCAATATGGGAAATTCTGGCAAATTATGATTCATGTAATTTGTCGCTGATTCTTCGCCCATTATCTGAGAAGAGTCTATGGAAAAAGCGATACTGATGTCCTCCCAACCTTAAAAACTTGTTCCACAGACTGTAAGTCTGGAAAGTATGGTGTGGATCAAAAATGAGTTAGAACGTAGATCCATGCTACGCGTCAATTCATACAATCTCTTTTAGATTTCCATGAGGCCTGTTTCCGACGACGAATCCGTGGTTCTGATTGTTTCCCCGAAATTTGCCACAGTACACGACCATGTCTCCTTCCAGTGGAGTCTGAAGATACACGGCACAACTGGAAGGGTATAGGTCTTGAAAATTCTTTCTCCTTTTTTGCAAATGACCATACAGCGACTTCAATAGCAAGGCTCAAAACAGAAAAACGAAAGTGAATGCCCTGTTGCAGATAACTGGTTCTGATGACGACATAGACGAGGAAGATGATCTTCCAACAAATTATGTGGCCGTTGAATTGTATTTTGTTGACGGTCCTATCAGTCAGGTGAGAATTCCTTTTGAAGTGGGTGCATGGCGGTGGCGTGTTGAGCCCCCCCCCTGGGTCGCGAAATTTCGAAAACTTCTTACATATGTGTTACCAAAATGTTCAAGCGACTTGACCTTACTTGTAAATAATTGAAATAATCATCAATTTGAAAAATTTTAACTAGCCTTGTGAAAAACATTTTTGGGGGGCGTGGCTGTCGTCACGACCCCTTTTTCCGAAATTTCGAGGTTATGGGCCCTCAAAAATTCTGGGAAGCCCCAAAAAATTTCCGGAATGCTCTAAATGATGCTAAAACATTTTTTTGTCTCACAATCAGTACAATCCCATTCAGGCAATTTGTTAATTGAACCTCGGGAAAGAGTGTTCAGGACCAAGATTCCTTTATATGCTCGCATAGTTTTTGTAATGAAAAATCCTCAAAAATTCTTAAATAATAAAATTTCCAAAATGCATAATCGTATATGAGGTCTTCCTTGCCCAGTTTTCACGCCTTCTCCCATTCCCCCTTTTATGCCAGTTGGTGAATTGCTAAAAGTCAAAAAAGAAATATTTCGAGTCATTCTGGTAAAATCTTGCTCTGGGTAGTAACAGCACTGTTTCGACAAACCTACAATGTTTTCGTTCAGGTAGACCTTCGCGCTGTTGTGCGTGTTATGCAAAAGGACGCGATGCCTGAAAAACCAGAAATGGTCGAAGAGAGTTAGTTTTTGCCCGAATTTAGTATGGTGTTTGACAGTTACTTATGATTAGTGTTTGTGGTGCTAGCAATATTTGAGCTCAAGATAGACATAGGGTGCAAGAATCAAAAAGTGCGCCGTCGCCTTTTCTTCGCGCTAGTGTTGTCAACACCGCAAAGGCTGATCGTTTTTTCTGAACAAAAGAAAACTTACCAAGAAAAGGTCAGAACTTGACCCAGCCATTCCAAGCAAGCTGTATATCATCGGACTCGTCTTTAAACTCTGATTTCAAGTATATGTTTTTTTATCTGCCAAGCGACTATCTGGGAGGAGTTATGAGCGTCCAAGTATGAGAAATTTTTCGGGTTTTGATGGACATACTTCCTCGAAGGCAGCCTGATGGAGCCGATTTACAATGGCTATGGTTGTTTTGATTACAAGGAAGATAAACTTTCATCAAAAACCTAAATAAGTGTTTTTGAAAATTTCGTGGAACATGTGCCACGGAACACTTGACAAATCCCACATTTAAACGCTCATAACTCCTTCTAGATAATCGCTTGGCAGATATTAAACATATATTTGTGATCAGCATTTCAAGTCGAGTCCGATGATATACAGCATGTTTGGTATGTCTGGGTTGAGTCTTGACCATTACCTGCTTAGCAGCATCATTCTAGGGAGTGCAATTTCAATGCAACGAGGGCAGTGCTGTGAAGTAACCGACAAAGATCGCACTGAAGTTTCTGATTATTTGAAGGTAACCGCACAGAATCTGTTTATACGGTAGTATTACTGTATAGTTACCTTGTTCTTAGGAAAACGTCGGACGAGTTGTGAAAGTGTCAGTGCTGATCAAAATGGACGCAAAACTGTTTGACCCGTACACATACCTAGACAAGGTCAGTCACGGTTTCTATTGTGATATACTCTGGTAAAAATGTTTTAGGTCTCCCCAACCCCTCATAAATCCTTCCTAACCACTAACTACAATGCAAGAGTAAACAGTAAAATTTGGAGAAGACGGTCGAGAAAGTAGGATACATCGTATCTGATCATCATTTCCAAAGTTTTCTTCGATTGTTAGGAAATCTGTGAAAGATGACAACGGACGAGTGAGCAAGAAAGACAAATCCGATATCGAAAAGAAATTCCATGAAGTTATGGAGATGGAACGGAAGGTAAGCAGACGGACTTACGTGAATCCTGGAAATGTCAAAGTCCTAGATGGCTCAAGATCCAAATCGTCTGCGAGTTTCTGCGCCATCATCCCGAAGAGGATCCACACAAACCCTGCTGAGCAATCATCATCTACCAGATCATGAGCACCTTTTCAAAAAGGTAAGGGGTGCGGTATGATGGTGCCACCTTTGTTTGATCATTTTGAAGGTTCCACGACTAGATTTACCGTTTAGTAACTCGCTTTCATTTATCCGTCTCAACTCTTTCTTTTCCGTCATTTACATATATATTTCCTTCTCCCCGGAAGTTCTACCCCTTAGCCAGAAACGAGCTTTTTATCATGTATTTTGTTAGCTTGGTGAGGCGTGTTTTGCTTTTTGTTTTGTTTTTTTTTGCTCACATTGACAAACAATGAAAAATATGAAGTTAAGAGTAAACTGTCACACTGCCACTTCATAAAAGAAAATTTTTGATAGGTAGGCCACTACTTTGTCGCGAGCTATTGGTGATCTAAATCTCTGCTGAAGTGCTCACCACCCGACCTTGCTCATATTTTCGCATTCAAATTGTAAGACTGTTTTTTGCTGCAGTTTGGGTAAAATATATTACAGTTGCTGGTAAACTGCTGTGACTCCTGTGAACGACGTCGTGGTTCCTTCTTCTACGACAGTCGGACAGAAGAAGAATCAGATGATGCTGAGGTGCGTGTTGCTATGTTAATTTGCAATATTTTCCTTACAAAGATAAGCTTGAATTTTCTCCGCGCATGACCGCCCCGCTATTTGCCTCTCTTGTAAATCTTGAAGCATAAGCGTGCTAGACACACAGGAAACATTCCAAAAAATATGAAAGGCCTGCAAGCCTCATTTCTCAAAAAGTCCTCTATTGTCCCCTCCCTTCCCTCCACCCCGCAGCCATGTGTCCTAGCTCGGGGGACGGAAGTTTCTCACCCGAGCCATATTCTCGCACCTAAGTGATGTGCCTGCCAGGCACATTCGAGTCTTATATATAAAGCTGAATGTCTGTTTGTCTGTCTGTCTGTCTGTATGTCTGTATGTACGTATGTTCCGAATAGAAAATTCCATTTTTGAACCGATCCGGACCCTTGGCACGCATACACTTGGGAGCTCGCAATTATAGCGAGCCCGGATGTACCTGGCAGGCACATCACAAAGGTGCGAGAATATGGCTCCGGTGAGAAACTTCCCGCACCCTCCTAGCTCGGCAACAACCGATTTTTGAACGGAATTATATATCTCTGATGATGAAGCAATATGCATTTAAATACCAGAACTTAGTTTGATTTTTTAAATACCTCGTCATAAGAGCAAAACTGACTGTTGGCGGCGGTTATGTGGCATCCTATATGTTTCAGGATTCTGATTCCAGCGATGAAGAAGTAGAAAGGTGTTTCGAATGTCGTGACAGCGAAAAAATGCACATTCATGACGTGAGTATTGAAAATGTTCTGTTAAACCAAATTTGTGTCCTATTACCGGTCCCATTTCTTGCAGCTCCTGGCCAACATGTACTTCAATAAAGTGGTGCTACCGGAAATGGAATACGTCGAGGATTTCGTTGATTTTCTTATTGATGCTGAACTGAACGACTTACCTGTGCTCAAACGAGCTTGCGAGCGATACCTCTGCGGCGAGCTCAATACGGTAAAGAGCAAAAATCATTAGTACCACATAGCTCTTGAAATGTCCTGTTTCAGAAGAAAGATTTATTGACATCGCTGCTGCTCGATTTGTTGTTCATTTCAATCGTCTTCCATCTACCTGTTATGAAAAGCATGACATTGTCAGAGCTTTCGAGCAGGACCGAAGAATTATCACACCCTGATAAGCTCATGGAAGATGAAGAATATAAGTGAGCCTAATTTTTGCGTTAGCTGTGAGATAGTCATGCAAGAAACTGACAATGAGTTTCTTACAAATCTCAAAAATTTACTGGATTGTGGCCAAAACATCAAATTTCCAACGTTTGTGACCTGTATCTCAATAAAAGAAAGTGACGCCATGTATACTTGTCAATTTACAGTTCGTAAGAAAAGAAAACACAATTATGGCAGTAGAAAAAAGGGGGCGGGGAGCAGAGGATGCAGCAAGAAATTTCTTACGATGAAGGGTTCTCTCATTACTTACCGTCTGATAAAAGATTTTCCTACAGTGATTTAATTCTATTTGTAATTGAAAATATCTCGATTGGTTGCTAGTAGACACAGTTTCGTAACCAAAATCTCGCTCAATCCATTTTTTTCTCTGAGGGGGGGGGAAGAGCTTTGCTATTCTTGCCTTCCTCATTCAGCTTTTATTGCCCGTGACGGTGTTGTGTCAGCCATGTCAACGTCGCAGCAGCCCAGGGACGTGGACCTATCATAACGGGGCGCGCACACATGGATTTCATTACGGCGCTGGCACGGCGTTGGCACGGCGCTGGCAGGGCGCTGGCACGGTCATCTAAACTCTTGTGTAGCGTTGTGATTTCAAATTATCTCGAGAAGGTTGCTCTTGCAAGACCAGATTGCCGAGTTAACACATCCACGGTAAGGCCGATTTTTCGATGACTGCCATTTCGGACCAGAGTATATTTCACAATATTGGGTTTGCTGTCTGGCCACTGATGGGTCATATGGTCTGAAGTGCCAATCTTTTGAATAGTATTCCAATATATGTATGCAGAATTTTATTCAGTTGCCCAAAACTTTCATCGTAAACTAACAAAATCCAAGACTTCAAGCATACGACCTACTGGCAGGTCGTATTGTCCGAAGTGGCAGGACACGTACGACCCACCGGTGGGTCGTATTGCCGTGGATGTGTTGAGCCATCAATCTTAAAAATTCATGTTTTTTCCAAGTTTTCGGGTGTATCTCGGTTTGATCTACTGCGGATGTTTTCAGAGTGCTGGACAAACGTATCCGGTCTTTGTCCGATCGCAACCTGGTAGAGCTGATCGAGCAGTGCCTCACCTTCAGCGAACAACGAAACAGAGTGCAAGTGATCCCACTCAACGCGTAGACAGACAAGTGTCAATCCTCATCCACGAGTACTTATAGTCGGGGGCTGCCGCTCCAACGTGTGCATTCATTTCCTGTATATTCGACACACAGCTTTAGAAGCAGAGAAGTACAGTATTTGCTATCATCGACGTACTAGTCACTTCAGCCGTTCACTTACTCATTGGAGATGTCATATTGCTTTCAGTTTCGCTCTGCACAATTGTACCTACATGATTCTCGTTAAAGCGAATAAATCTTTAACAGAACAAAACATACGCTAATCCTGTGGTGGTCTTGAGACCAGAAAACCAGTTGCCGCGAACGGTTACTGTACTCTGCGGTTATGTCATTCGTCACTGAAATGGTAAACGATCACGCAATAACAGTACAAGAAAATAATGCGAGCCAACAAAATCCCTTGTCAACTGCACCCCATTTGCACTTCAAGTCAATGAAATCGGCAATAAAAATCACACAACAATGTTTCATTATTATGGGTTCCGCAGCAGACAGTAAAATTTGCAGAAGTGCGTTTCTGTCCTTCCCATAATGTTGGCATCAGCCCAGGTTTTTGTTTTTCCCACATACATCAGGCTGAAGCCCGTGGCTTGCCTATAGCAAACTGGAGAGTAGAGTGGAGTTCTTTTGTGACTTTGTAAAAAAATAGTCGTCAGACTTAGCCTTTGAAGAAAAGTTTGGAGTAGTCTTGCTAGGCCTTAGGACGCATTTTGACAACCGAAAATGCCTAAAAAACCATTAGTTCATTTTATCGTTACCGACAAGTATGAAAGCTCCTTCAGCTTTTTGGGCGGGATTTAGAAGTATCAGCGAAAATCTGTGTAACAACGGAATGAAATATGTCCAATTTTTATCATTTTCTCCCTCTGCTATGTTAGTTTTTGCATAATAATGTTCCACTGAATAATGGGCTAATAATGTTCGTTTGCGGGCTTCACGAAAAGTGGGCCTAGCAGTAGCCGCAGACTGCCAACTTTTTCAATAAAAAAAGACTAATTGAACTATGAAAATCAAGGGAGTGCCATGGGAATCTTGCAAATAAGGAACACCTTGAGTATATTATCAAATAACGAAGAGATTGATCAAATCCATGGGAAGCTTTGAAGTCTACTCCCATTCATCGACTCTTACTGGTATCAAGGATTTTTTTCGCTGAAGACACCGTTTTTTTTGCGAAACATTATGAAGTTTACAACTGCGGGACAAAATTACTTTTTTTCTGTGCTTTGCTTTTGTGAAAAGACATCCCATAAGGCCTTTGCCGGCCTGCACCGCATGGATTTGCTTTTATGAAAACAAGAATGAACCATTAAATGCACTCAGACACTGGTATATTCAATAGGTAAACATCAAGGCCTCTCACGTGTCCAGTGATGTGCTATTTGTGTTTTAGGTTTTCCAACTGGTTCTCTTTCGCAGTTACGAAGGATCAAGAATGAGCTGGGGCAACAATTCAAATGCTACGACACTTTACTAAATCGTTTGCAATATTGTATCTCCTGTAACACCAATGTAGAGAAGGGAATGTCGTTATGTCAGCAATGAATACTCAGCTAATTGAAGAAATTATTGAACAGCTCTAGGGACTGCAAACTAATAAGAATCATTCGTTGAATGTGGCTGTGAAGATTTTCGTTTTTCGGATTTCCCACATTGGTCTTTTCGCACCTGCAACTGTACCGTGGAGGGTCAGAAATGTGAAGACGACTCCCAAGGATGACACTCTCCATTTTCGATTTGATTTTTTTTACCTCTCTTGCTCAAACCTAATGCTCACCCTAAGCTGGATGAGGACTTCAAAATTAAGAGCATTGCGATCATATTTCGGAAAAAATTTGGACAAAAATCTAGTTGGACAAGTTCGCATGGTTTCACTCTTGTATGTTTCCATACATTTCCTCTTTTTAAGCAGGGAAGTGCGGAGAATTGTGATGGTCCCGCTTCGTGCAGACCTGCACAAACGCATGTCTCTGATCCGTATTGAACGGCTGGACTGGTACTGCGACTGGACTTCCAAGCCGACTTTCGCATTCAGGCTGGCAACCTCGGCGTTTGGTCGGAGGGTCTGCTACAGTAAGTTTAAACTCAGTTTAGGCGGAAATTGGGCTAACGGGAGTCCGCTTCGCAACGATTCGCGCCGCTTTGCAGTCTGCGCCTCTTCATTATAACCTACTAGTTGGCAAACCCGGCTCCGCCCGGGCCTGTCAATAATATATTTGTAATCAGCATGCTCGATTACCCCCCTGTGCCAACTCCCAGCCCTGTAGCTCAAATTTTGCAAAAAATCGATAAAATCGATATCGATCGATAACGAAAAGTAGCCTATGACACGCTCCCTGCCCCGAAGTATATGTGTGCCAAGTTTGGTCCAAATCGGTGCAGAAATAAAAATTTCTATTCCGCACATACGTACAGACAGACATACAGACATACAGACAGACAGACAGACAGACAGACATTCAGCTTTATATATAAGATCTCGCTTAGCCAGTGAGGGTGCGGGCGCGCTGCTCCACTTGAAGTGTTTCGCATACTCCGGGTTGTAAAAGACTGTATTTATCTTAGCGGATGTGCAGCACCCCTTTTGAGCCCACACTATGTTGTTCCTGATTGGTACGACGTTTATGGGTCATAAATATTTCCAAACAAGAAGAAAAATCGCTTTAAGACCCAAATTAGCTTTTTGAGGTTTCCGTAAGCGTTCTTGCCGTTCTTTACCATTTCCTTTCATGGAGAAAATTCTTAAGACGCCACTGGTACGAGATAGCAGGTCTAGATCTCAACTAAAACTTCAGCGATGATTTCAGTGTGGGATTGGCAACAACCTCTATTAAGTACATAGCGATATAGTGGAGTTAGGTGCAACGGTAAGCGTTGCTTACTCTTGTCTCATAATAAGGCATCAAAATAACTGTTCTAAAGAATATTCGTTGTCATTCGGCAAACTCTTTCTCTGTACAAAGTCCCGCAAATTCTGAGAGCTTTACCTCACTTGTAAACTCTAAGTGCGCAAAATTCGAGCGAATTCTAGGCTTGAGATTTTTGGAAAATATAGTGGAATAGAAACGTTGGAATCTTTGGTTCTTGTACACGCATGCATGGAAAAGTCCGGAGCCTAGGCTGTTGCAGACGTTACGGTAATCATCTTAGCGGGCCTGTGCTGCAAATGCACAGAATCATTTGGTTTCTACGCCTCTTTGGTAGGTGCCAGAGTAAGCGAATATTTTGTTCAAGTTGGGGTCCTGCGGATTTTGGATTGATGCCAGTATGGTGAGAGACGTCAATTCTCCGCAGGACCCCAACTTGAACAAAATATTCGCTTACTCTGGCACCTACCTTTATGAAGATCTTGCAATTTGAATTTAAACTTGTATTTTGAAGGAACCTCGGCTTGACTATCCTTTCCAATGGCTTGTAGTCTGAGAACGGTTCTGTGAACGATGCCGCTTCGCTCGCTCATAGTCGGTATTAGAAGTCTTTCAGCTCGAGGATCTTCAGCCTTCAGCCCCAACAAGGTCTCATTTCTCTATTGTAACTTTGCATCTTCCATAGGATTTTTTCAGTTTGGTTCCCTGCAGCGCAGCGACATTCCTATAGAGCGGCTTGTCGTGCCCAAACCAGAGAAGACGAAAGACTTCGCAAAAGAAAAGGAATTTACTGTCTCCAAAAGAAAGATAAAGGAGCTCAAAATTCCAGTCGGTATATCGAAAACAGAGCGAGAGCGACTGGAAAAAATTCAGTCCAGGGAAACACCTCCTCCAAGTCATCTATGCTTAATTCGTAAGTGTCGATACGCAGTCATACTATCCAGACCACTTTTGTAGTCCACATTGATGTGCTATTTTTCAGAATGTTCTAAGCCAGAATTTAACCTTCTGGAATGCAAACCGGGTGTCAGTCATTCTTTATGCAGTACATATTGGGAGAAGAACAAGCACAGCGACGAATGGTTCATTATCAGGCGAATGACGAAGGTTGGCACGATCGTCCTTTTTCATTGTTGGACATTCGAAAAATCGTGACGATGGCGCGACCGCGCGACCGCACGCACTTTCATTTCTTGGTTTCTATCTCTACTGGAATGGTTTTTCTGCTTACGTATGATAGTAGCTCAGACACTGGAAGTAACTGAGCTGGGCGTTGAGTTGATGCCTGTCTATCTTTGTGAGAGTTTTATGCCCTTGTGTGCGCAAAGACCGCAGTCAAACTCGTCGTCACGATTTTAAGAATGAATCATGCCTACTTCTTGCCTGTCGTTCAGGAGTCTCCAAGTCAATTCGCTACTGAAGGGAATTCATGGGAACATTATGTGCCGGATCGTCTTGATCCGCTCATTCGAGATGCTCTTGCAGATCTCTCCTTAAAAACTCCGACTCAAGTCCAGGCAAGTTCTTCATTGTTTTACGTGCTGCTAATCTGTACACTATTGGGAAATCGACGTTTCAGACGCAGTGCTTACAAGCATTCCCATCTCGATACCATTTATTTATTGCAGCCGAGACAGGCTCGGGGAAGACCATTGCTTATGCCGCTCCACTATTTACCAAATTATTGCAAAGCAAGCGTAAGGGTTTTGTAGAGAAAGGTAAGTCGTGGCTCTTGTCACGTGAGTACCATCTCAATCAGGCGTAATTTTCAGCTGTCATTCTCACTGTTACGGCACCTCTGAAAAGGCAGACATTTGCCGCACTTTCGAAATTAGCAGCCAAAACTGACTTGAGGCTCTCGATGTGCTCATCGGATGCAGGCTGCTCGGTTCGTTGTATCTTTATGTATCATCGGCTCCCAGATCCGCGATGGCGGAGTCGGCACATGTCAACGGTGCGGTTGTCCATTCTTACTTATATATAATACAACACTGGCATGCTTGATAAGCTGATTGTCGGTTGATCATCGCAGCTGCATCAGCGCGAATCTGGGAGTCAGTGATATGCCGTAGTCAGTCCAGTCTAGAAGTGTAGAACTGGGTTGGGTGTATTTCTACGAAGCTGTGGAAGACATTTCAATTTCTTCAGTCTCTTTGCAGCAGTCCAGAAGCTTTGTTTTTTTCTCAGAAGATGTTCAGTTTTACTTATATCCGCCATTGTCATTAGTGACGCATGTAAAATGTTGCAAATTTAGGGTGATTTCGACGTGCTCGTAGGCACTCCCGGCTTAGTGGCAAAAACACTTCGCAAACGTGGTGCTTCCTCAGATATCAAGCATGTGATTATTCTCATGCTCATTACATGCGAATTATAATTGTTTTCTTTTAGCTGGTTTTGGATGAAGCTGATATGATACTTGATGAAAGTTTCACTGATGTTCTGACGGAAATCTTTGCCTTGGTACCTGTATCCGACTCCATCACAAATCCAAACGGTGATTCTGATGGTACGCTCTTGTAAACGCCGGCAAACATATAATCTGTCTGTGTTTAGGTGCGCGCATCATATTCTGCTCTGCTTCTTGTCCAGAGGAGTTGGAATGTCTTGCAGATGGTGTTGTAGACCGCCAGCACCTGCGATACATCAAAAGTCCCAAATTGCACAGTCTGTCTAAGAATGTAGAACTCAAATTCATTCGGTGAGTATTACTCTTTGTTTATGAATTTTACAAAAAGCGCTTAGTTCATAGCGCTTTCGAGGACCTCATAACGCGCTCGTAGCCGCCTCTCTTGTCGCTGTAGCAGAGATCTGTGTCGCTCTCGACTTCAGCATACAGTAAAAGCTAAACTTCTATAAGCCTATACATCAGACTGTTTTGCTGTGATTTTATGCGTAATCTTTTTTTACTGTGTAATGGTTATGATTCTCAAACTGGCGCCACAGACCAGGCGTATCGAGTATTGTGGCCTTGAAGGCAGTGTCCGGGCAAAAACTCGATTTTGAGATTTTGTGCTTATACGGGCCTATTTGTCATGCTGAGTCCGAAAATCCACACTGGGAAGCGCGAAAACGGCAAAAAACAGCTCTAGCGCAGGAGGGAAACAGCATGTGGGCGGGGTCCTCCCCACTGTGAATTCGCGCTCCCAGCTTCCAGAGCGATCTTCTCCCTTCCGGTTTTAAGTCAATCATTCGCATTTGGCCGGTAGCGATGTTAGGACTACTAGCGGAATCGAGGAGACCGCTCCGGAAGCTGGGAGCATGAATTCACAGTGGGGAGGACCCCGCCCACTTGCTGATTTCTTTCCTGTGTTAAAGCCGTTTTTTGCCGTTTTCGCGCTCTTCAATCATTTTCGGATTCAGCGTAGCGAATAGGCCCGAGTAAGCACAAAATCTCAAAATCGAGTTTTTGCCCAGACATTGTCTCTAACGTCGAAGTTACTCATTTAATCGAAAAATATTTTTGACTGGTGGGTAAAATATTGTCGTGCTTATGTTTAGAGTAAGGGAAAAGGACAAAATCATGCGGTTGCAAGGCCTACTCGCAGAAGATATGAGACGTGGTGAACTCAATCAGACGATGATTTTCTGCAAGGTTAGTGAGCTAGCTCTGAAAGTTCTCTTCATTCAAAACATCGTTAAGGACCGTGCAACAGCTTCTTTTGTGCATCAGCAGTTGCAGTCTTTCTCTCATCCTGTAACATTATGCATCTCGAATATGGCTGTCGATGAAAACTCGAGAATTTTTGTCGCTACAGATGTAGCAGCCAGGTAAGTTCTCATCTGTTTTGGACAAGCTCGATCAGCTAGAGACAAAGATCTCTAAATCCCTACAGAAGGGTGCGAATGCTTTTTTCTGCAGCAAGATGTTTTTACTACTTGTAATACCATATTATTTCGATCTTCACTGTTTTGCTGATTTCCAGCTATTTTGCGTCAAGTTTTTGAGGCGTCCACTATGTTAACAAAAAGCTTCACGGTGCAAAAGATGCCTAACAATGCTTTCGAAAATGTCACAGCTCAGCACAAAAAGACTCGTTATCAAAGAAGAGGCTTGCTTCAGGGGACTGGATCTACCTCGTCTCAGCCATGTGATCAACTATGATCTTTCGCGGCACCTTGTCGACTTTCTTCACAGAATAGGAAGAGTTGGACGCCTCAGCTCGTCATTTCTTGGACGTGTTACTTCATTCGTTCGCACACCCAGCGAAGTAAGATTAACGAACGCTATTGAGGTGAGCATAACTATACGATTGTGTACAGTCGGTTTCATCCCGGATTAGACGAGACATTCTGTGTGGAGCAGCGCATGCGCATCGCTGGAGGCTTCGCGAGCGCATAGCGCTGGCATTTTGCCAAGCAAAGACTAAGGAGATTGAAGAGACGCAGACATGGGTTTCAGCACGATAGGGCATACTGTAGCTGCGAAACGGCGCGAGCTGTTGCGAGGCGGACTCCCGCCAGTCCAATTTCCGCCTAAAGCGGGTCGAAACTCACTGTACGTACATACATACTCAAAACTTTGATGCCCTTCATAGAAAGCAAAACAGACAAAAGCATCTTCTATGCTACGATTTTCATTTATCCCTTGAGAGTCGCATTGCCACAATCTTCAAAGTATTATCATTCCACAAACTCAGAGCTTCAGATGCTCTAAGAAGCATACGGCAGTAAGCCTGTTCCTACTAAAGTTGAAATCTCGAAGTTGCGAGCTTCCCATGAAGTATGCGCGAGACATCGGGAAATGCATCATTTGACGATTCTTTTTTTTTTTGTTATTTAACACTGGATAAAATTTACAATGGTTTTTGAGACATTTCATTGAGCTTATGAGCAAAAGATTAGCTTTTGAGAGCGGAAGCTTTTTGAAATTCTCCAGAGATTGTACAAAATAACCTCAGCTTATTTGACGATGCGTTATCTGTAACCCTCACAGTGAAGATGGGAGATACTGAAACGAAACGATACCCTTTAGACCCTCCATGGGTATGTATCTGTATATAAGTCCAGTTATCTCGGTAATCATCTTTCGCGTTCTCATACTATGCAGTTTACTTTTCAGTTGGCCGCTCGCTTGGGACGACCATTATCGCAGATAGAAACTGATGTATCAGGCCAGCTGAAGTTGGCTCGAGAAAACAGAGATTAGAAAATCTCATGTGAAAGAAAGCAAAGACTAGATAGAAGAATTTTTATTGTTCTCAAAGAATAGAAGAATAAAAGATTTGTCTTAATACCTATGTCAAACATGCAGTTCCCATGATCATTGTGGAATCACAAAAATAACCCAAATTAGGTGGAAACAAATTTAAGTGCTCAGTGCAACTGCCTCAAGATTCCGAAATTCGAAATTTTTCGTGCTTCTACTTGGAACTTTCTACTCAGTAAGCCTTGGTCGCTTCGCATGGCCTCTCATTCATGCGTGATATTGTGATTCAACATTGAAGAATCGCGCGGAGACAGGTCTTCGATGCAATTGTGAATGGAATTCCTACCCAACAACCAAGGGACTTTTCCGTCTATTCTACTTCTTTCAGAATCTCATTCATCGGCGATTTTGAGCACATCCAAATGTACTGTAATCTTGATGCATTACAACAGTTTCTCAAAAGGAAGAATAATAAGCATAACTCCAAAATTTTGCATCTATATACACAGCCTGAACACACCTAGTGCAATCCTAGGGCACATTATTGAGAGCCTTCCGAAACGACGTTTGACCAGTAATGCGAAGCTTCTGGCAAGCTGTGATTTAATACCATTTGATTCAAATGGCTTGGCATCAACAAAGGCGGGACTTCGTGACCTAATTAAGGCTAAGTAATGATCAGAACCTCGGGCGAGAGAGACGCAGGTGCGTCACGGGCGCGAGCGGCCTCAATTAGATCACAAAACCCCGCCCTAGTGGTGCAAAGCCAGTTGAATCAAAGGTTACATAGATCTAATGGGTCATGCTTGAGCAGTGGCATCCGCTCAGAAACGAGATATGCTTATAAGCTCACAAAACCGAATCACCACACAAGGAATGATAGCACACGATTGATGATGTTCACAGCGATGGTGGACTCATACCGATCTACGAAGACCTGAAAAAGCCTAAAAGAGATGAAAGGCGCACGATCACAGTATCAGGACTGCCCCAATTCACCACTATCAAAATGAGACAATCCAAAGTTGTAGATAGGTTATGCTAAGTAAAGAGGGGTTAGTAATTCTGAATCAAAAACGGTTGAAAGTCAGTTGTTCAGTATGGCCCATGCATCATCATCCCAGTCTTTCGTCGGCGAAGCTTTCTTTGGTTTGACTGCAGGTGTGCTCCGTGTTTGACTTTGCTTGCTGAACGACGCTTCAAACTGCGTTATCGTGGAATCTTCTGCAACAACTTCATCGAACTTACTTACTTACATGGACAATCATAGCCCTCCAACAAAGAAAAAGGAAAGGAAAAAGAGACATGAGATTACCTTTACTTGCAGTGGCCGGTACGGATTCATCGGCAACCGATCTGCTTGCAGGAGATGCTGATTTCGAAGTCACCGGTTTCTGTGTAACAACGTGCTTTTTGCCATCGATTCCTGAGTCTGCAACGGATGTGTACATCATACTGGAACTGCACCAAACTTGACTTACCTGCGAGAGAGAAAAAGGCCTCGCCTGGTCGGTGATGTTGTTCGCCAAAAACGTCACTAAAGCAAGCCAGTGAGCAATCAAAGAAACCTCACAAGAATCGAATATTTTACGAAAACTGGGAGATCTTACATTGGTGTTACTTCGCCAAAGAGTTTATCACTAGCGCACTTTCTGTCAGCACGTCTTAACAGAGTTAAGGAAATCTACGGTATGTAGGCCTTATTATGCACTTTTCTTGGACTATGACTGGCTAGGTTTACAGCTTATGATGTGTTGATATTGTTTTGCTTCAAATTCCTTGCGAATTATGAGTAGATCTGGTAATATACCTACCAGACTACCAAAAAGATGGCAAATTTCCCTTTTTGATCTTTAAAGTCTTGAATCTGATTTAGGACTTTCAGTGTAACCCCGCAAAACGCAAACGTGTGAAAATAATAGTATTTTCTTAGCGCACGCCACAGAATCTCTTTCCAGGTAAATTCAAAGTACAATCTCTGAGTTTCAAAACTTGGAACACCATTTGGAAAAAGCACCTTCCACCAGAATCGTAGCTTTTGGTGTTCATCGAATTACAAGAAGATTGTTCTGTGGGTGTCGACATCTCCTCGTAACCACTGTAAAAAGGTGAAAAAGCTGATTGATACATGTAAGTCCAGAAAAAATCCTACTGAGGAAATAACAAACAAAGAATTCATCAAATCAAAGAAAGAAATCACAAGTACTGGAAATCAAAAACTCACGCTTTAGGTAATAAGCTTCCTAGGCCTTGTAAAGATGGTGATTTGACAAACTGAGATATGCCACCCCATGATTTCTGTCCAATTTCTGTTGCTTTGCTCGCCACTCCAGAAAGCAGACCACTATTCTGTGCCTGAGGAAATCGAGCATTCTAAAAGGTCATATGTGATATTAGCTTGCACATATCGTTCTGAAGCAAACTGAAAGGTTTAGTGGAGAAGGCATACTGCAAAATGAATACCATGAAGGCGCGCCCACAACTGATTTGCATATCCCTCTAAACTTCGAAAATCGGCAGAAGTGCGCAACCCTCTCACCCAAAAAAACACTGCCGGCTAAGAAAATTTTTGTTTCCGCATGTTTTCATCTATACCTAGTAGCAAAAAGAGTAGCAAAAATGCTTCAACTATTGTAAAGAAGCGAAGCTAAGGTTACGCACTTGCACTATGGTCCGATTCTGAGAAAAGACTGACCACCATGAGATGTGAAAAAAAGATCAAGACTTGATAAAACAATAGCAGCAGAAAGATCCACAAAAATGCTGTGAGCCACTCAATCAAATGATGCAGATTTTTTCCAAGATTCTTGCACCGCATCTGAGCTAGGATGGACCGAACTTCATCATATGGTAAAAGCCTTACTACATAGCAGAAGCGAGAACTAAAACAAAAAACCTTCAATAACCAAGTACTAACTATTGATATTGCGATTTGAGCTTAAACTTCGATTTTTTGTAATTCAAATGAGCCGTATAAATTCTTCGTGGGCGTGGCAGCCGACAGCCACCTTTTTCCAAAATCTTGGAGGTTAGGAGCAAAATTTCCGCAAATCACTTCAAAAGATTTCTCGTTCGTGACCAATGATCAAGGATTTTTTGTTGCCCCCCCCCCCTCCCCACCCTGGACGAAATCCTGCAAACGCCACTGAAAGGCGCCTTTCATTCAGCTAATCGAGTTGTGAAAGTTTTGTCCTAATCAAACTTGAATTGTTTCTATTTCTCAAAAAAAAAAACAAAGACTTCGCCGTGAGTACACCACTTTTAAACAGCAATTCGCCTCCACATTGCACACCCTGCTGACTGTGTTTGAACTTGAATAGCAACGGAGCATTGCTTGATTTTCCCTCAGGGCACCATATTAGGTGTCAAATCTACTAGTGTGAAGATAGAAGCGACCAGTGGCTCCGCCCACATCGATGGTCTAAAGATAAACGACCAAATCAAGCTTTGATTATTCAGAATTGTCAGAAATTCGCCCATCGTTATGAATATCAGATTTTCGACATTTTTATCAATTATTTTTATCAACTCCGAAGCCAGCTTCTGAGCTCATTGTCTTCAGACCACCCATGGTAATAGCCGGAGCCACCTGGGCCGCTCCTACCTTTCGGAGCGACTTTCTCGCTTCCGAGTTATTTTTCGTAAAGGGAGTTGGGCCGAAGACTCACTTAGGGCCAAGCTATTATAATGCATCAAAATCTCAGAAACATCGGTTTGTGTGGACGGTGCCTTCAAAATTAGCGTGGCTGCGACATCCTGCCATTTCAGTCCCAACAGGAAAAAATAAGAATAGAGTTACATTCTGAGCATGCTAATATGATCATGCGGAAATAAAGTGTCTTAAAAAACAAAAAGACCAACATCATGCTAACAGATACTAATCTAACAAGGGAAGCGTTCTTAGTCGAAGTGGCGTTTTCAAATGAAACTTTTATTACTTTGACGAGCGTTGCACGATGGCTCCAAATCTGCCTTCATTATCTGCCAAGCGCCACTGGACGGCGAGTTATGACCGCTTTTTGGAAAGAAAAGTGAATGCAGATTGGTTAAAAATAATTGATACAGTGTCTTTCCAGCGCTCAGATAAAACAGTGTTGAATATTAGCATACTAGACAAAATTATCCATTGCATGTACTGCTCTGATACTCGACACCGGACCATTTAAGCAAATTTGGGCGATTTTGTTTCAGTTTCGCTTTCTTTTTTGACCCGAAGAACGCCTATAACCCTCCGGAGGCGCTTGGCAGATAATGAAGGCAGGTTTGGAACCACTGGGCAATACGCTCGAAAGCAGTATGGGTCTCATCTGAAAAGGCCACTTCGACTAAACACGCTTCCTTTGTAAGTTCTGACCACATCATGAACTCACAACAGAAATGAATAAATCAACTTACCGATAATTCACTTGCTTTCTGCGAAGCTTGTATAGTAACGTCTTTGGCAATAGCTGCTGCTTGTGAAGCTCCTTTGGAAAGCATATTCCAGCCCTAAACTCTAGTCTTAAAGCAGCAATGTACTTTGAGTCAACTAACCACAGATAATGAAGACATTGCACCGCTCAAGAGATCATCTTGTTGTCCAGTAGGAGTATCAGCTGTATTTCCGAAACCTCGATACCGGTCATCGCTGCATTGCATGGCTTTAGAGACGTCGATATGAAACTTGAGAGAAGGAACATACCCCTGCGAAGCACCATTTGCGTTGTATCCGCTACCACCGTCCGAATATGCGGTAGAATTTCCACCTCCATAATATGATCCTAAGCTAGCCGCCGAGGAACCCCTGGAGATATCTCCCCCAAGTCTTCCTCCAACATTCAACGAAGATGGTACATAATTTCTTGCTGATGATGTTGCAATAGACCACTCTCGTCCCTCCGCTTCAGTAGCAACCTAGATTGAGATGACCAGAAAAGATGAAAAAAAAATAATCACCGCTCCATGAAACCAGAGCAGAGATATTGTAAACCCACTTTGTCCCTGAATAAAGCAGCCGCTCGGGAATTGTACTTGTCATGAAGTGACCAGTTCTCGCGGTAGTCTGGCTGACTTTCCAGAAACTCCCGAAATTTCTTGTTTCCACCAACTTTCATTTTCGCCAACTCAATATCTTTCCATTTATCCATTGTTACCGAACGCACGAAACTTAAAAACCGTAACTTTACAAATTCATGAATTGTCATTATGACTGACCTGAGATGAACCCCAAGACCACGATGCAGTCCAGAACAATCTAGGCATATCCATATTCCATAAGACACCGATACCCACTGCGGATTATTTGCGCCACACTCGAAGCACGTCTGATAGACCAAAATTTTGTGGATGCGCGAATAGACATTTCGATATGATGAAAACAAAACAACAAAGCAACTTGAATGTTCAAGGACAAGCATATCTGGAGACAAACAAAATGATGTACTAATGATAGGTAGAATCGGTACATTATATAAAGCTGATTAGAATTCGAAGAAACTCACATTGTTCTCGTTTAGTGGCCGTAACTCCTTTAAAACCCTTCTAGTGCGAGGACTGGCCATTTTAGTTTCTACAAATTTCCCCTAGCAACACCAGTACTGAATAGGTTACAACACAGCAGGAAGAGCTTAAGTCCTCAGTGGACCGGAATTTGATCGATTGTGCACTTCTCGCAGTTCGGAAAGAGTGTGAATGGAGCGCGAAATCTTTGTGAGCAAATCATTCACTATAGTAAGTTTCCTTAGGGTGGGGGAACGAAAGCCGCCACGTCCAGCCGCCTTTCGCGGCCAGCTGGTCCTTTCGCAGCGTTGTTGCATGTCGTTCCAGGACCAGCAGTCCGCGGAGGCGGCTGGACCTGGCGGCTTTCGTTCCCTTCCCCCACCCGTTTCCTTTGGTTGCCTTTACTGCAGTTTATGAACAAGAGGTAAACATGAAAGAAGTACGAAATAAACATTCTTTAGTCAAGTAATCCTTCTTTTTTATGTGCAATTGCACGCTCTTCTAACAATGAGCAACAGGTGGAGAAGGTGGTCTTTCGCAGACATCTGCGACAAATACGCAGTACCACACATCACGCACACTACGGTTTCGGGAGGGCGTGCAGGAGTTCCTAGCACCTTTCCTCGCACCAAGTTCGCACCATCAATCGCACCCAGGAGGGTTCTAGCACCTCCGCATCTCAGAGGTCAGGGACCGCCCATTGCTCCACCCATTAACTGCCCTCATTGTGAGGTAAGCAAGTAGAGAAAACAGAGAATTAGAAATTGAAGTAATGAGAACGAAAAAACTGGAAAAAAGAAGTTCTTTCATAGTTGAACTACATGGAAATAACTATGAACATGTGATTTTCACTGATTACAAACTTCAGTGATAAGTACGCTTTATTCAAGTTAGTATAAAACTTTAGTATGAATGCAGCGCCCAGTTTTTTTTTTCAAATTGGCGATTACCAGTTCAGATATAAGAAATTATCTCGAAATAAATGTTGCCACTCTCTGGATAGTTTGATTTGAAAATTTGATTGTTTAGAATGAAAAATCGGCTGCTTAAAAATATTAGGTCGCTCCGAAAGTTCACGCAGTTTTTCAGACCCATGCACAAAACACTTAGAAGATAGACAATAAGCACTATCCGATGCAGAATTTCTTCGTCTTTTCAACGGCTATGTTTTCGCTGTGACTATTTCGATAAGCACTGAGATAATCGCCGAAAACTAGAGCCCATCATTTTTACCATGTTTAAATTTCGCTAATTTTTAGAATTTTTATTTTGAGTTTTTGAAGGCGCTCTAATAACCACCTTCTAGGGCAAAACTTTTGCAAATTAATGCAACTTTTTGCATTATTTCACCCCCCCCCTGTAGAAATTTGCTGAATTATTTCACGAGAGCATTGAATTTTGAAAAAAATTGCAAGACACATAATTGCACCAAACACTGCGAAATCCCCAAAATATTAGGGTTCTGGAACTCGATTATTACTATCACTAGTATTACGAAGTAAGTGAGCGATTATGTCGTGAAAATGGATTGATTTTAAAAAATGGACCGTAAAACTGGAAATTACAGCGATTTTGTCTGCAAAAGTCACATGTCTCGCAAAGAAAAGGAAGCTGTCAGAAAGAGGAGGAAAAGATGCATCGAATGATACCTAAACTGTTCAGCGTCTGGTTCTGCGAGGTTGATGAGCCAAATATAAAATTTGATCACTTCAGAAAATAAATTAGTAGTTCTAGAAAGCATGCCAGAGAGATGCAAGCGTGAATTTTCGGAGCGACCTAATATAAATGAAAATTAATCACTTGTGCATTTTCTTGAAGAAAATCGGTCATACTCCTAGAAGATTTCGAAATTTACATATTGGGTGGCCAATTTAGATGCTGGCTTAGGTATTCAGCGTTCGACTTCCTAAATGACTGTATTTATCGAAGGCTAGAAATCTACTTTTCGTAGATTCGACAATAGAAAAAAATTATTTTGTAACGAGTTTTCGGTTCCCTTCACTCTAATATGCTTTTCATATGCTTGGATGTTTGTACTTGGACGCTTGTTAGACACGTTCTCTTGTTTATTCGAGCGCTTGACACAAGGTAATCACCTTACATAGCATAACAAAAGATTTTAAGGGAGCAGGTAAAGGTGGCGAAGGAAGTGTTGCTTTACTTTTCTTTAAGACATAACTAACACTGGTAACCAAGATTTTGTGAATTCTGCACTCATTCGCTGTTTCTAATGTTTGAAAAGTAATTGAATTCGATTAACGAAATTCCTCGGATCAGCTTAAGTGGTCCTCAATTTTTATAAATACAAAGATTCCACTGCGCTTGCACAATCTAGAATGAGCGCACTTAGAAGGCGGAGAAAAAGGCGGAGCCGTTCCTTGACCTGTGAAGGTGTGATGTCCCTTCCAGGTTTCTCTGAAGGTGCTAATCACTCCTGCAAGGAAAGTCGGCGAGGCTTTGGGAACTCCTGCCACGCCGCCACGGTTTCGTGCCAGCTGTCCTTGTGGGGTGGAGTCTATCGGCGACATAGAGTCCCCTACCTATGAGCAACCATTGTCCCTGGCACACGTGTGACCTCCCTTGGCAATTGGTCTGGAGCGACTCGGCAGGCATTTGGTAAGAGATGATAAACACTCAGAGTTTGCTAGTTGCACGGGTGCTGTGGGTAGGAGCGCGTGTTACTTCGAAGCCCCACCGAAGTGAGAATTTCGTTGTGATGGGTATAAATGTCAACCATACGCATGCAACTGCCATGGCCTTCATAGTGGTATGCAGTAAGCACAGAGGCAAGGCCCCACATATGATGATCGCCCAAACGGTTTTTGATAGCCTGACTAAGACACGCTCAAGCGGCAGCCGACTCAGCAATCGGTGTTGAGGTTTGTAAGCGTATGTGCATGAAAATGTGCAAGTGAGAAGCTATGTTATGAGAACAAGATATTAAGCTTAGATAAAGGCAAGGTATGTTATGAGAAAGATCAACTGTTACAGATATGAAGACGATATGCATTTCGCAGTAAGTATATAATCTACCGCCGCGAGCACCCGCCGGTGTTAGCATTCTACCACAGCACCCACGAGTGCAGGTCGCCTATTCGTAAAGCTTATTAGCTAATGTGTTCTATATAACACACTCTACCAGGCGCTATTCGCCTCAGGCTACAGTAAAGCCAAGGAAACTCTGTTTCCTAATCCAGCTTACCCCCGACTACTTCCTAGTTATGAACAGAGGTTGAAAATTCTTGATCTTGAAAGCATTACATATCGGAAAGTTGCCCATGATATCATATTAGCTTTTAAGATTTTTAGGGGTGAAACCAAGTTGAATCCTTCCAAGTACTGGGTTTTCAGACCTAGCCATGGAAGGACTAGTGCATTCTCTATTTATTTCCGTCACTTTGGTGGGCGGCAACGATTTCGTTCCTTATTTGAGCAGGAGTTTTTTGTCCGCACATCAAAATTGTTACAAAAATTACCACACGAACTTTTGGCATGTAGTGATAGTTCCTCTTTCAGTAGAGAGCTCAAAAAAAAGAAGATTGAATGGCTTTTTCGCAGGTTTAACATATCTCACTTCCCTTCTTTTATGACTGCGCGGTTGCAACCAAATATGTGCAATGAGCATAATTGTGTTACGAATATGCACTGACTAGCAGCCCTTTTATAACTTTGCATATGTTGAACTCTACTGCTTTTGAGCTTTTTACTAACAAGGGAACGATACTCAATGTCCGTGGCCTTTTGAGACGAGATGTATACCATTACACTCGCCTTCGAACGCTGATTCCGAATCTGACTTCCGTTTCTGCTAATCGTTTCTCTGAAGGAAGTTATGGAAGAATTTCGAGCCAGCTTTATATGCCCAAGGGTATGGTCACCAGAACGGCCTCTACCGGCGCCATGTTATTGTCTAGTGGTTAGTGTGATAGCCTCATAACTTGATACAGGTGTAGGTTCAAATCCTTTTGTGTTTTTGTTTTGCACTACCTCAATTAAAATTGTTCGAGATTCACTCGAATTATGGTTATTGGATACATTTTATCGCAAATAGTAAATCTTTTCCAAATTTCCACATTTTTTGAAGAGTAAGGGCGTCCAGTCAGCTCGAAGATGCGAAAGAAGGTTTATTGAGGCAATGCAAAACTGAAAGACACAAAAGGACTCGAACTCACAGCTGCATCAACTCATGGGCCTATCGCGCTAACCACTAGACCACACCGCACCATCACTGTTGTCGCTTCAAACGTATTTCAGTGCAAAGCCGAAGCCCGCACAATGCTTTACAACATCTTTGAAGCGATTAGCAGAAACGGAAGTCAGATTCGGAATCAGCGTTCCAAGACGAGTGTAATGGTATACAACTCATCTCAAAAAGCCACGGACACCGAGTATCGTTTCCTTGTAAGACTGTTCTTTTCACCATGTGGTTCAAGCCTGGGTCGCATCTATATTTTAGCCTGTTTCGCACAGCTTGCTTGCTTTGATTGCTTGAAGAGCATGTTATGCTTATTCTTACTTCGGAGTTGGGCTCTCCTCGGCAGACTGGTTGGGCTATAAGCTCCGGTTTGTTTCTTGGAAATCTTTTGAGATCGTGGCTAGCAAACAAAAGGGCGTGGGTACCATCTCCTTGGATTACAACTCGTTTAGATTCATTTTCGTTGTGCAGTACTTGACAGTATTGTGTTTTGCACATGTAGCAATGCTCCTAGAGTTTTGAGCTCTCCCCGGCATGCCGGTGGGTGCTTACCCGCTGTCGTTTGCTTTTGAATACTTTAAGATCGTTTGCTGGCTAACGCGGGGGCATGGTTCCATCTCTGTGGATATAACTCATCATTGACGTTCGTAATATGTCTTCTTACAAGCTAAGTCGTTATTCTTTAGTTTGTACGAAGCTGGGCTTGAAGCATATGATGTTCTGTTGTTATTCGTGCTTTGTGTAAAACTAACAATTGCATTGTTTGTTTTTTCTTAATGGTACGCCTCGAGAGTATTTAATGAAAATGAAAATGAAAAATGAAACATCATTACAGACTCTGTTACACTAAAACGGCACTTTGGACACTTGGCCTAGTGTAACTAGCCTTAATTGGACCATGAATCTAAATTATAGCCCCTGAACCCACCCAAACTAGCTTTAGACACTTAATCCCCACACTAAACTCGTTTTTTCTGAT